GAAAGTCACTTCCTTGACAAATTGATCACGGTGAAATTTGAACCCGACCATCGTGATATTCAAAGGGTCTAAAAATTCAGCCATGTGCACATATCATAATATTATTTGCATATAACAACCCCCACCCCCCCAAAAAAAATGAAAAAAATGCACTGACTCATGTATGATGTAATAGATAAAGAAGTAGTGTGGTTGTGGCATCCATAAGGCATGGACAGGATTTAAAGCCATTTGACTTCAATTTGAGATGGAAAGTTGTTTGGGTTTTTGTTGGTGAATAGTATCAAGCATCTACTGACATTAATTATGGATAGATATCAATGGAATTTGAAAACTGTAGATGCCTACAGGTGATATAAGAATAAGATTATTATTATTAATTTTCAACTAGTATTTACCTTCATCATCATTTTTTATTGGATGACACTAATGTCAACCATTATTATTAATTTTTTACTAGTATTTTATTTTCATCTTCATTTCCTTATTAGATGAAACATTGTCAACCTGTAATAATAATTTATTTACTAGTATTTACTTTCATCTCCACTTTCAGGTACTTTATACTCCTCACCAGACTTCACTGATCCAAAAGAGATGTGAATTCATATCCATTACTTTTTCAGAATCTATGGCCTCTATCATAAAACTGACAGCCTTAATAAACATTACAATCAAATGCAATTAAAAAGTAAGATGAAAGTAAATATGAGTCAAAAATAAATAATAATGGATGATCAATTGGGTCTCAAATAGACTAGATATACAAACGGAGAATGTTTTTAAAATGATTATTGATCTGCTGCGTCTTTGATTGTTGGAGTTGAAATCTACAAATTGTCTGATGAACATGTTTTTGACAAAGTATTCTGTGCAGTTGGCCATTTAGTTTGTATTTTTATAGTTCATTTTAACAAAATGGGAAATCATTTTCTTGTTTCTATTCAAAATAACTGCAGATTCTCATCATTGTTACCCAGTTCTTGTCTGCCTTGATTAGGCAATAAGCAGAATTTTCAACTTTCTTTGACCAAAAACTAAAGTATTTGTAGTCATGATTGGTAAGTACTACCATTAATTAGCATAGAGTAGACATTCTATATAGGCTTACTAAAAAAGGTAGCTCTAATGGGAGTTATATTGGAAGAATCATTTATTCTGCCATTTGTATTTCTACCATTATTGGCATTAGTATACCCAGAATATAAGAACAACATATTTCAGAGTTGGAATAACTGAAAGGAAACAAAATGACAAACTTGCTGTGTTCTCAGAGAGACTTTTATAATAGTAAGACATACACAAAGCCATACATATATATATATATATATATATATATATATATATATATATATATATATATATATATATATATATATATATATATTTCCCATGCAGAGAAATTATAACATATATCTATACAGCAAGCAGAATGAAAGGTGAATGAAAAGATAGGATCTTACATATAATATGAATATTTTCTGTGTTTCTGGAGAAGTCATGTTTAGGATTCTACATTCAAGTGGTCCAAATTCATAAACTATGTCCCAAGCATGGACATATCCTGTGAAATGGAAACGGTGAGTCTTGAGTTCCTGGGGAAGATGTATTCCCAAAAGGAAATGGCACCATGGACTTTTAAGCTGCTTAAGGAGGCAAATTTAGACTTAGCCTGGGCTGAGAGCCTTTGCGCCAAACAAACAACTGCTTCGTTTGACTACTGTAAACCAACTGATTGACTGCCGCTTTCATCACTGTATAGAGTCACGTCACTAAGTGGCTATCACATGACCTGCATGACTTCATCTCCATCAAATCCAATTCTTTTTGTATCTTTACAAGCGTAATAGTCCTTGTACTGCTTGTAGTGTTAGCGTCTCTCAGTTGCATCTCCGTCTTTAGGCAGAGCAAAACTCAGTTGTGTCTTTGTCTGTGGACAGAGCACAGTTGGAAAAAATATCAAGAGGTGCTAGTCCCATGAAACAGCTGTGGCAGTACCTCCCTCATTGCACTAAAGAGAAGGAATCAGTAGTGATACTAATGCTAGTGCAACCAATGGTTGCAGGTGTTGGGCAATTTGCCCCACATTAAACCAATCTTGTGTCATATCCCATCACTGAACTGAGACAAGTAAATACCATGGTATTTGAACTGTTGCCATTAGTATGAGCAATGTCTTGCACCATTGGCAGACAGAGGGGTTTGCTCCTCTGTTGAGAATATTGCTCAAGACTCAGGTCCAACTCCCCAATCAGTAACTCTCCTTCAGGAGGAGGATAGCTTTGTTGCCTGGCACCTGAGACATCCCCAAAATAATGGAGGGCCAAGAGAGCTTGAGAAATTTTCCATGGTACTGCTGATAAACCCACATTAAACTCGTCCTTTGTGTCACATTTCATTGTCATGGGTGCATACCTATATGCAGTATTACTTGGACAGTTGAACCAATACTGACTGCATACAAATGACTACTTGCAATTTCTTTCACTCTCAGCAACCCCCCTTTGCATCTTAGTGGCTTTATTGCCTTGTCTTGGGTGAAATGAATAAAAAAAAATGACTAATGATTTGAGAATGTTCCTAGGCAGATTGTTAATAAAATGCAGAAAGAGGGTAAGGCCCAAGGAGAAAGTCTTGGGGGGGGCACTTGCATTGCTATCAGGGAAATAAAAATAATAGGAGATTAGGTACTATGAAAAATTTTCTTGAAAAGAGCATAGCATGATGAAAAAGGACCCAAAATTAAATTTTGCAATTTATGCAGAAAAGAGCATAGCATGATGAAAAAGGACCCAAAATTAAATTTTGCAATTTATGCAGAAAAGAGCATAGCATGATGAAAAAGGACCCAAAATTAAATTTTGCAATTTATGTTTTTCTTAAGAGGAAAGACTAAAGTATTTTTTGATAATTTTATTAATTTTTTTTATCATTTCTAACATGTTCAAAATTTTGGTTTCTTGCATCAGCAGGTGAGCCAAAGATTAGTATTGGAAATTTTAGCATCTTTTTTGGTGTTAAAAGCACATTTTTTCAAAAATGAACTAATTGTTGGATTTTAATGAAATTTTCAAAACTTATTCACAAATGAATGAAATTATTTTTCGAATTTTTTTTTTAGAAAAATCTTGGTAAAATATATATATATATATTTTTACATCTGTTACTCCAACTTAAATTTTATGAAATTTTGAAAAATTAAAATTTCACCTTCTTCATATTTATATTTTTTAAAAGCAGGAGTCCTTGGAAAATTGAAATCATTTGTTTTTGTCAAACCGAAACACCATTTACAGAAAATCTGCTCTAAATCATATAATAAAGAATGCAATAAAACTAAAAAATTATTTAATTAATAAAGATTTAATCACTTTTATAAATACGTTGTTAAGGACACTATTGTCCAAAGTAAAAAAAAATAATTTTTAATGAATAATTAATTTTTAAAGAATTGTATTCATTTTTTAAAAATTTTAATTAGAAAAATTTATTAGGTTTTAAATCTTTGAAAATTCTGTATTATTTTTCAGCCTTTTAGATAATATTATTATTATCAAGTAGACATTTAACTACATGTATTAATTATAAATGGAAAAGCTTAATACAAATCATCAAACACCAATATTTTTAAAAGAATTTTGAATTTTTTTATGTGCATCAATGTGCTTGAACTTTGTAAATACAGACAACCACACATGACATTATACATGAAAATAAGAGTGATAACTATTGTAAATTTAAAGCCAAATTTTCTAAAATTCAATAAAACATTAGATTATAACAAATACTTTCCTAAATTTTTAAGATTACTGAGTACAGTGTAACCCAGATATAAGAGAGTTGTCGGGACTGGAGAAGAAGTCTCTTATATCCGGGTTTCTCTTATATCCGGGTTTGGTCTATTTTATATACATTAACACAGGCTCTAATTTGGGACCAGAGAAAATCTCTCTTATATCCGGGTTACACTGTACTTAAAAATTATATGAAAAAAGCACTAACATCATTTTCTTCAATTACGTTTTACAGATAAAATCTCTGTAGAACAGCATTAGATCTTTTATCAGGCTGTCAATATGTCAAAATAGCTAGTCAGGTTAAAAATGCAGCTACTCTTGGGTTAAAAATGAATTTCTGAGATATGTTAAAATTAAAGTAAATAATATTTGTTTCAAATTTGATTAATTATACTTTAAATCAGCTAATATTCCTCAAATAAAGTTTCAGAAAAGTATATTTATTTTTGGAAGATTTTTTAATAAGGAGAATTACATTGCGATGAGAAATGATTAAAAAAGGGCACTAATCAGCTATTTTAGCAACAAAATGAAACTCCTTCCAGTCAATTTAAATTAGTTTTTGAATTACAGCAAAGTATTTTGCTTATTGGAAATATTAAATTTAACCTATCAGCTTGCAATTAAAACTAAAATAAAAACTTCAAGAAAGATTTTTCATTTTTAAAAATTCATTTAAAATCTTAGGTATCATATTTTCTGTGGTGGTACCTGTATATGATTTATTATTTAAGGATAATAACATGTTTCAAAAGGTTTCCAGGCCTGATGAAATATTATAGAGGATGCGACTTTGTTCACAGGCCACAGATATTTCCTACCTTGATATTGTTAGATAGAAGCTTTGTAAATGTGACCTTGTTCCAAAGATGGCTTAGTCCAGTAAATATCCAACCCAGCAATAATTGATTTTGGTTATAATTTGCTAGGCATTTTATTTCCTTCTTTTATGTTTAATTTTGGGCTTGTCAGGAAAACTTTGTATTTTACAATAATTGTAAATTCATTGGATTGAAATTGTTTCATGCTCAGGTCTTGAGCTTTGGGTAATAAACGCTGTCTTTCAATGTATCAAGAGGTTTTGAGCTGCAGGGTGAGAGTGATGAGAGGGAGAGAGAGAGAGAGTTAGAGGATGAGAGAATCAGTGAGGGTTATAGAGAATTGGAGAGAGGCAGAATCAAGGAGAGAGAGGTAAAATGAGACAGAGATGGAATCATTGAAAGACAGAGAATCAGAGAGAGATGAAATGAGAGAGGGATAGAAAATCAGAGAGAGAAAATTAAGAAGAAATGCTAATTTTCGATGTATTAAGAGATTTTGAGCCACAGGGCGAGAATGATGAGAAAGAGAGAGAGTGTAAGTGAGAACAACTAGAGAAGGAGAGAGAGCAGATTAGGAAGACATGTCGTCTTTCAATGGATTGAGCCACAGGGTGAGAGTGATGAAAAAGAGAGAGAAATTGAGAATCAGAATAAAAAGACACGGAGAGTGAGAATAATTAGAGAGAGAGAGAGAGAGAGCACCAGAGAGAGTAGATTAGAAAGAAAGGTTATCTTTCAGTGTATTGAGAGGTTTTGAGCCACAGAATGAGAGATGGAACAGAGTCAGAGAGAAAGAGAATCTCAGAGAGAGAGAGAGAGAGAGAGAAAGAGAGAGAGAGAGAGAAAGAGAGAGAGAGAGAGAGACTCAGAGTGAACTACAGAATGAGAGAAACAGTAAGAAAAAGACTGAGAAAGACATTCAAGGAATGACTCTTCCCATGTCAAGAGAAGACATTTTGAATTTCAGGTTGAGAGAGAGAGAGAGAGAGAGCAGGAGAGAAAGAAGGAGAGATAATCAGAAGGATACACTCTGAAAGAGAGAAGTCAAAGAGAGAGATAGAGATAGAGAGAGAGAAGAGTCATCAGATGAGACCTACAGAAAGAGAACCAGTCAATCAGAGAGAGAGAGAGAGAGAGAGAGAGAGAGAGAAAAATGGAGTAATCTGAAAATAGCTGAATAACCCAAGGGAGAGAAGGATAAAATCATTTTGAAGGAGTAAACATAGGAAAGCAAAATGAAAGAGAGAAAAGAAAAATGAAAGAGGAAAAAACTCTCTAAGAATGAAGAGAAATTGAAAGAATTAAAAGACAGAGAGATAAAAAAAAGAAAGAAAAAGAAAAGAAGAATAAAGAGAAAAATGAGAAAAAACTCTCTAAGAATGAAGAGAGAAAGAATTAAAATGACAGAGAGATAAAAAAAAAGAGAAAAAAAATAAAAGAATAAAGAGAAAAAATGAAGAGAAAAAACTCTCTAAGAATGAAGAAAAAGAGTGAGTGAGAAAAAATTAAAATGACAGAGAATAAAAAAAGGAAAAGAAAAAAGAAAGAAGAATAAAAAGAGAAAAATGGAGAGGAAAAAAACTCTTTGAAAAATTAAAATAAAGATAAAAAAAGGAAAAAAAAAAAGAAGAAGAATAAAGAAAAATAGGAAAAACTCTCTAAGAAAAGAAAAAAAAATGAAAAAATTAAAAGAGAAGATGAAAAAAGAAAAGAAGAAAAAATGAAGAGAGGAAAAAACTCTCTAAGAATGAAGAAAAAAGAGTGAGTGAGAAAGAATTAAAATGACAGAGAGATAAAAAAAAGGAAAGAAAAAGAAAGAAGAATAAAGAGAGAAAAATGAAGAGAGGAAAAAACTCTCTAAGAATGAAGAAAAAAGAGTGAGTGAGAAAGAATTAAAATGACAGAGAGATAAAAAAAAGGAAAGAAAAAGAAAGAAGAATAAAAAGAAAAAATGAAGAGGAAAAAACTCTCTAAGAATGAAGAAAAAGAGGAGTGAGAAAAGAATTAAAATGACAAAGAAGAATAAAGAGAGAAAAAAATGAAAAGGAAAAAAACTCTCTAAGAAAAAAAAGTGTGGTAGAAAAAATTAAAATGACAAGAAAAAAAAGGAAAGAAAAAAGAAAGAAAATAAAGAGAGAAAATGAAAGAGAAAAACTCTAAGAAAAGTGAGGAGAAAGAATTAAAATGACAGAGATAAAAAAAAAAGGAAAGAAAAAGAAAAGAAGAATGAAAAAATGAAAATGTAAACATAGTGAAAAAAGAGAGAGATAAATGAATAAATTTGTTAGACAAAGTAAAAAAAAATGAGATACAATTTGAAAGAAATGAGAGAACTCATATTGGGAAAGAATTCTCCCAGCCAGGAGATGAATGGCATTAAAATATGGAAAGTCAATCATGTTATGGAAAAAAAGATTGAAAAAACAAACTGTTATTGTTCAGTTTTGTAAAGTTCATTCTCCACATGCAATCCTATAAATATGGCCTTGTCAATAAATTAAAAATTGTTAAAAATCTTATTATATCTTACTTATTATAAAACGCAGATTGTGTGTGTGTGTGTGTGTCTGTACGTTTATATATTGGATCGGATTTCCTCCATTTTTCAACCGATTTCAACAAAACTTCACAGGACTGCGTAAAATTACCTTTCGGTGGTTCTGACAGTGCCAAAAATTGGAAAAACACAATTGTTTTTGCACGAAATCAATTTGAAAACACAATTAAGAGGCATTAATGGAAGGGGGACAACTCATATCGAGTTATACTTATTAATATCGAGTTATCGAGTTATACTTATTATAAAACCCAGGTTGGTTGTTTGTGTGTGTGTGTGTGTGCGTGTGTGTATGTGTGTGTGTGTTCGTTTACATATGGGATCGGATTTCCTACATTTTTCAACCGATTTCAACAAAACATCACTTTTTTTTGGCAGGTAGTGTTTCTTATTGTCTTCCACACTTTTTTCTTTATTTTTACATTCAGAATGCTTTAAAAATTCCATTTACAAGACAATTGTTTATAATAAAATTCTATTCAATCGTAGACTCATAACGATTGAAAACAATGTTTTTGCTTGAGTTTGGGTTTGACCAATTCGTAAAAAAAACCCCAAAAAACAAAAAAAACTAATTAAGACATGTGTGTCCGCCAACCTTAAACAATAATCTTTGTCAATTTTATTTTTCAGTCTTTATGATGGTTGATACTTGATCTGTCTCTTACTGTTACATCCCTGGTTTTTTTGTGTGTGTGTGTGTGTGTGTTCATTTATATATGGGACCGGATTTCCTACATTTTTCAACCGATTTCAACAAAACTTCACTTTTTTTTGGGCAGGTAGTGTTTCTTATTGTCTTGCACACTTTTCTTTATTTTTACATTCAGAATGCTTTAAAATTACATTTTACAAGACAATTGTTTATAATAAAATTCTATTCAATCGGTAGACTCATAACGATTGAAAACAATTTTTTTTGTTTGAGTTTGGGTTTGACCAATTCGTAAAAAAAACCCCCAAAAAACAAAAATAAACTAATTAAGACATGTGTGTCTGCCAACTTTAAACAATAATCTTTGTCAATTTTATTTTTCAGTCTTTATGATGGTCGATACTTGATCTATCTCTTACTGTTACATCCGGGCTCTACTGCTAGTTGTAATATAAAACACACACACACACACACACACACACACACACACACACACACACTTATATACATCCTTGAAAAAATAAATTTTGGTCAGGCACTTTAGAGAGATAGCACGAATTTGTAAACAGTGACTGCTATCTAGGTTTCACCTAAACAGATCTTCAGAGAATATTTTTCTTTGAACTTGGAGCTTACACACTGGATGATTGTTTTTTGCCTTGTTTTAATGTTCTTGGTTCTTTCTTTTTTTATTTCCTATTTTTCCTTGGGTACCGATTTGTTCTACTGCAAGTTGAGATATCCAAAGTTTTCCAAGTGCATACCATATATATATATATATATATATATATATATATATATATATATATATATATATATGTTTGCAAAGGGCCCAACAAAACTGATCTCATTTAAGCACCATAGAGAAACTTTTCTATCTGCCATCAGCATGGTTGCTGCATGAATTCTAGGGAGCAATACACTGCGCGTTCTTGGTCTCACATTTTCAACTGACTTGAAGTGGAGTGACTACATAACTTCAATAGCTGCATCTACTGCAAGGAAAGTTGGCTCACTGTGTCATACCAAAGTACATCTTGCACAGTTACAAATCTACCATTCGTCCATGGATTTAATACTGTTGCCATATCTGGTCTGGTGCTCCTGCTATTTATCTTGAGGTTCTTAACAAAATCTAAAGAAGGATCTGCAATGAAATTGATCCTGACCTGGCATCTCAACTTCAGTTATTTTCTCAGAGATGTGATGTGGCTTCCGTCTGTCTTTTCTACAAATATTTTGACAAACTTTTTTCCCTGGTGCCCTGACTGCATTAATTTAAGTGTACCACTAGATTGGCATCTATATCCCACCCATTTACTGCTGAAATAGCTAAATTTCAACCACTACTTCTACTCCAACAGTTTTTTTTTCTTGCACTTCCTGTCTGTGGAACTCCCTTCCATTTACTTGCTTCCCTGAAAACTACAATCTTCAAAAATTTAAATGCAACATCAGTTGCCATCTTCTATCTTCTTGAATCCCATTCATCTTTTGTCCTTTCCTCAATCCTACCTATACCCGGTCTTTTCTCTGATTTTCACTCTCTGTAACCCCCCCATGTACTAGTGGCATTCTAGCCTTGCTTGAGGTGAAATGATTAAAAAATATATTAAAATGCATTCTATAAAAAAGAAATTATTCATAACATACATATATTTCATATATGTATTTCATATATTTCATATATATTCAGATATTTCATATATTTTATATATATTCATATATTTCATATATTTTCATATATTTCATATATTCTTATATATATTCATATATTTTATATACTTTTTATATATATTCATATATTTCATATATATATATTCATATATATTCATATATTTATATATATATTCATATATTTTATATATATTCATATATTTCATATATGTATATTCATATATTTCATATATATTCATATATTTCATATATTTTCATATATTTCATATATTTTTACATATATTCATATATTTCATATATATATATTCATATTATTTCATATATTTCATATATATTCATCACGTACATATATTTTATACAGAAATATGATAATCGAAGACAAAATAAAGTGTTTAGCAACTAAAAAATTATACAATTCCAGACTAATGTTATATATAGCAACCCTAAAATAAATAAAAAATTACATTTAAGCCTACCAATCATTCCTTCTACTTACTTGCTGGTAGGACTTAATATACAAACTTTCATATGATAATCAGTATTAGCCCTACTGACCATTTCAAACATGTCTGGACTATAAAGCTGAATACACTGTTGGTTTTTAATAAAATATTTAGCTATTGCTGAATCTGATACATTAACACACCTATGTAAATTGTTCACCTTTCCGTTGCGAATATTGGCTGGTATGTATTGGTTGATCCAGGCTTTCAACCTATTCTGCCTACACACTCTGCATTGCACTGACATCTGAACATATAACTTACAAAACTAATATGATGAATAGGCAAAATATCTGTAATTATGTCTGTTTTTAGTGTTCTAATATATGTATATATGTATATGTGTATATATATCTATATATATGTATAAATGTATATATATGTATATATGTATATATATGTATACATATGTATATATATGTATATACGTACATATATGTATATATGTATATTCATATATATATGTATACATGTATATATGTATATATATAGTTGTATATTTAGGCAGCAATCCTTCCTTTATGCATGTTTCATTAAAAATGACAGACAAGGTTCTACGGTTAAGCTTTTTTTTAAAATTTTTCATGTGTTCTAACAAGAGCTTTCTTTTCTGGACAAAGGGTGTGTAAGAACTGTCCAAATGTTTTATATTTCCAAGCGCTTTCGGCTATACCTTTAGCCATTATCAAAGATGATTCGATTTTTCAGTTTACATAAATGTGTGCGTAATGTGTATGTCTTAGTGTGTGGTAGTGATGTTTTTAGTTTCCGAATACGGTTAGTACATTGTGGCTTTGTTCATAGTTAATATTGTTAAGAGTTGGCTTTTTCTTTTTTATTATTAAAGCTTCCATTATTTTTAGTCTTTTTTTGCAGGTGGATGTAGTTAATATATTCGTGTTTTCTACTAGTATGTTCCTAATGCAGTCTGGTAAATTTGTGTGTTCGTTTAAATGGGTTCTGATGGAGCTGTGATCAGATACGTTTAACGTAAGATGTCTGGATAAGCATGTGGTTGTGTAACCGATGTAATTATTTATGAGTCCGGTTTGATCAGGAACTCATAGATAATGTTCGTTCTTTGTAATTTTGACTTAGCTAGTGTGTTGTTATTTTTGAGGATAAGGTTGGCTGTCTTAAATTTTTTATAATAGATAATAAACATTTAAACAAGATGCATGTTTCATTAAAATATTTATATATATGTATATATGTATATATATGTATATATGTATATATTTTAAGACATTTTTATGTTTAACATTCTTTTTATAGATACAAATATTTAAGTAAATGCTCTGTTTATAATAAACAGTATTAAATAACATTTACTGGCTTGAATGTCTGAGAAATTTTGACTACTTAACTAATAATGCTAAGAGAAAAGCATACAAAATATACAACTAAAAAAGATCAGATCATGATAATGATTTCTAAAAGAATACTTTAGTTTTTGGTCAAAGAAAGTTGAAAATTCTGCTTATTGACTGATGAAGGCAGACAAAAACTGCGCAACAGTGATGAGAATCTGCGGTTATTTTGAATAGAAACAAGAAAATGATTTCCCATTTTGTTGAAATCAACTATAAAAATACAAACTAAATGGCCAACTGCACAGAATACTTTGTCAAAAACTTGTTCATCAGACAATTTGTAGATTTCAACTCCAACAATCAAAGACGCAGCAGATCAATAATCATTTTAAAAACATTCTCTGTTTGTATATCTAGTCTATTTGAGACCCAATTGATCATACATTATTATTTATTTTTGACTCATATTTACTTTCATCTTACTTTTTAATTGCATTTGATTGTAATGTTTATTAAGGCTGTCAGTTTTACGATAGAGGCCATAGATTCTGAAAAAGTAATGGATATGAATTCACATCTCTTTTGAATCAGTGAAGTCTGGTGAGGACTATAAAGTACCTGAAAGTGGAGATGAAAGTAAATACTAGTAAATAAATTATTATTACAGGCTGACAATGTTTCATCTAATAAGGAA